CCCCACCCCCGCACACGCACACGCACACGCACACACACATGCACACACGCACACACACACGCACACACACACACGCACATACACACTTTCGCTCCAAGCGAGCTAGTGACCGAGGGAGGGGAAAAAACAGCGGAAGAAGAACAGGTCAAAGTAAGAACTAGAAAAAAAAATATAGAGGCAACCTCCTTCCCTCTCTCACTCAGCCCACCCGCCTCGAACATCTCCCTGAACCTCTCACTCATGCTGAACGCTGCTTCCTCAGCCGATCGAGGAGCGCCTGGGCCTCTCGCTCTAGCTCCCCCCGCGGTGCCCCTCCGACCGCCTTCTTCACGCCCTCCTTCCCCGTGCTCTCCTCGAACAACTTCTTGAATGCCGCCGCATCCGACGAACCCTCTACCATGAACTGAACCTTCACTAACTCCTGTTCGCCCTCGATCTTCTTCGCGCGCTCCACGCGAAGAAACTTGGAATGCCCCGCTGCGCCCTGATCCCCGCCCCCTTCCCCCCCCCCCCCCCCCCAGAAGCGTTTCATCGCGTCTAAATGCGGGTTCTCATCGATGCTCTGGCACAAGCGAGGAACCGCAACTCCGAACAACACAAGGCGGGGCGGCCCTTGGGGATTGGGTGGAACCTCTCCTCCTGCCGCCAGCGCCTCTCTCTTCGCCTTTGCCCACTCTTGAGCTTCTGAATTGTGCAGCTGCCCTGCCTCGAGTAGTTCTCGAACGAGATCCCCATCGAGAGGCGCTAGATGCGCGGCAATAAGTGCCCCCATGAGCACGCGCAGGTCGGCCGAATTCGATAGCTCCAACTTGGCCACCGTCTCGATAAGATTGTCGAGGTTCTGGCGGTTGCCTCGGGGCGGCTGTCGACCCCCTCCACCATCTCCTCCGCTGCCAGCAGCGCCCGCGGACGGTTGGTCCTTCTGGCTGTTGGCCTTCTTGTGCGCAGGCTCTTGGCTCGGGTCCAGGATCTTCTTGCCCATCCAGGCTGGCATTGCAGTCGTTGCGGGCATGTGTGAGAAACTCATGTACTTCACAATCCCAAGCTCCGGCCTCGTGAGGGAAATGGCTTCTGACATGCTGATAGAACCCCAGATCGGCACCACCGTCAGATCGGATCTGACATCTGTGCGACTAAGCCCGCACCGCCTTCAACGAAAATGATCTCCCCTTAACACAATATCCACGACACAAGGACCCCGATAGATGCCTAGCCGCCAAGATTTTGCGAGCGAGCACCTCCAAGCAGTTCGGACATCGATTCGAACCTACCAGTAAAGACGATAAATTCCTAAGCCCATGCCCATGCCGAACATGTTCAAGTAGCCCCCTATGCGTAATAAAACCCCCCCCACATATCTGGTCCCCACGAGACATAAGACATGTGTAAGTATGTGCATCTTCTCCTCGAACCCCGGGACCCATTTCAGGCACGGCACTAGATACATATCCAGGAGGAGGTATACGTACCGCAAGAAATGCCTTTTCGAAACATACTGGGGTCAAACTTGCAAAACTCATGCGCAGCATCTCTATCACGGAAGAAGAATCCCATGGACCCAGTTGCGGCATCGAGTAAGTCTTCTCTATCGCACGCTTCGCACAGCGCCACGCAATCATTCCAGGCCTGAACGGCCCACGGATGAGCCTGCTTTGAAACTTTGCCCGGGACATGATCAAGTGTGTCGAAACCCTCGTTCACAAGCCGTCCGAAAACCACTGTAACCTCCTGTACATGATTCAGTGGATGACGGATCCAAGCCTGCAGCCACTTCGTGCGAATAACTATGCACTCGATGCTGGTCGGGACAAGCTTCCAGTGCCGAAGGACTTGTTCGTTCGATAGATGTTTGACGTGCTCGCCTGAGTCATCGGAAGTTTTTCCCTGCATCCGTACTCTGGCGTAACGCACCAGCGCCGAGTCAAGCCTGCGAAAATGCCACTCAGAGACAACAAACACCTCCAGGTTCGCCCCTGCAGCGTTCACACATCTTGCGAGGAACATACAGCGCCTCCAGCGCCACGGGATGCCATGCAAACTCCAAGAACGACCTGCCTCATGAAAAGCCGTCTGGATGGCCTCTAATCTCTTAGTCACCTCCGCCGAACTCGATCCTCGAAAGTGAATTTGACCCCCCAGGCTTCGTTGAACTTCATGAATAGTCCCTCAATAGGAAGCCCTTTTTCACGCAGTACCCTTCTACCAATACCAGAACCTTTTCCAATCAACGAAAGCAAGTTACTCTGCTTCGACGTGTTCTGCTTGTAACCTCGTTCTGATAAACACCGATCTAACATTTCACTGGAACGCATAGCTTTGTGACACGGGAGGAGGAGGAGGAGGAGGAGGAGGAGGAGGAGGAGGAGGAGGAGGAGGAGGAGGAGGAAGAGAGAGGAAGGGGAAGAACATGCGGAAGAAGAGAGAGTGGGCAGACGGAGAAGGAGCTTGCCGGAAAGCGTCCTCGTGTAGATTCTGGCGCACCGTAGACGGGAGAGAGAAAGAAAGAGTAGCTGGAGGGGGATGAGCAAGAAGAACATGCTCAGGATATAGGAAAATAGCGGAAATGAGGAATGGGAGGAGAACCGGAAAGAAGCATGCGACGCCGACGGCGGCGACGACGACGTTGACTCGTGTTGCCACCCTTAGAAGCCTTCGCGGATCTTTCGGTATTGGGGCCTCCTGGAAGCCTCTTGGCGTCACCTTGGGGCTGCCTTGGGGCCATTTGGGGGTCCTTCGCAACCTTCATGGGGTTCTCCTGGGGCCCTCTCTGTGGCCACGGAGGCCCTCTCTGGGCCTTCCTGGAGGCAGTCGGTTAGAAGAGGGAGCGGGCTCAATTGCTCCCATCCCGCGGGGGCAATCAAAATCGCCTCTTCGGGCCCTATCGGGCGAATCTGGGGTGCCATTACACGTTCTTGTCTTGAGGCCGTCTTGGAGCCCCCAGGGCTCATGGCTCATCATGCGGGTCATTTTGGCTATCTGGGGATCATTTGGAGCCTCCAAAGCCGGTTGGAAGCGAAACAGCGAGACAGCACAAAGAAGTGAAACAATGGCGTGCTTGAAAGATGTTGGGCTCTTGGAGGCGTCCTGGGTGGCATTGCGACCAGTTGAAGCAATCGTTTGGCAATATTGGGGGCCATTGGATACTCGCTGCAGGCTACCTCGAACCATATTGGGTTCATATTGTGTCACATCGGATGCCATCTAACTGCCGGAGACCACGCTTGAGCCATCTTGAGCCCAAACAGTCCCCCGAACATCTCGCGAAGCTCTGGCTCCGAATACAAGGGAGGGGGCAGGGATTTATTCCCTCAACGAAAGGGAAGACAAGGGGTTGGACACAACAACTACCTCCTCAAACCACCTGCAACTTGAATGGGGGGAGCGCGAGGACGGCCCGCGCGCCTCTGCGAACGGCTCAGGCTTAGAGTATACAACGAACGTTCCTGAACAGTACGATATATTATGAACAGAAGTCGTCTTCCAACATATGCCAGTGTTCGTCGAACCGAAAAATCATTGGAAAGTGAAGAATATGAACAAATTTCATTACATATTCTGAAACCATTACGAACATGCTCGAAATACATGTTCTGGGTCGGAGCCTTTGGCGATGGTCGCGCGCTGTCCCAGCGTGGCCCCGCAAAGCGTATAGTGCGCATTAACGATGCGCAGGAGAGGAGATCCCAGGAAACTCGATATGGCCCGCAACGTGAATCCGAAAAACCAAACGGCTGCCGCGCGGCAGTTCGAAGTCCCACCATCCCTCTGGGCGCAGGTGGTAGAAAGAACTTGTTCATTCTACCCTTTTTCCTTCTCGAGGCACGATTTGCCCGTCCCCCGTACCTCCCATGGGTTCGGGACCAGGGTTTCGCGAGATGTCAAGGGGTCCTCTTGGGCCAACTCTTGCTCCAGCGTGGCCACAGATAGCTCAATCGTGACTCCGAAATGGGGCGAGATAGCCCGGCCTCACTTCCAACAGATCTCCCAAAAACCTCACGGTCGCCATGAAAAGACTGCAAATAGGAACCGAACCTCCTGAGGGCGCCACAAGAGTCCAGAATGCTTTACCACGCGTTTTGGTTTTCAATGTCGGTTTGCCTTCTCACCGTTTCGCTTCCGATGAGCTTATGAAGCTCCAAGATAGTTCCCGGCAAGCCCCCCAAAACACCAAACAACGCGAACAGGCGCCCGCAGGCAGTCCCAGGAGCGCTCAAGAACGCCCCAAGAACGCCCCCCGCACGCCGTAATAGGCGACTTTGACGGCTCCAGCGGGGCGGATGCACCTGAGTCCGCCTCTTTTGTTGATCGATGGCGCCTAGGGTTCCCCCTAAAAGGTCCCCGTGGCCCCCAAGAGGGGGCTGGGGAAGACCCAAGGCGGCCCCGAAAACCACCGAATGGCGGCAAGAAAACCCAAATATGGCTACAAGGGGCTTCCAGCAGGCCACCCCCAGGGAAATTCGCAAAAGCCAATCCGGCTCATTCCTATCTTCGTCGTCGTAGCCGTCGTCGTCGCCAATCTGCTCCCCGATCATCCCCCCCTTCATCCTCATCCTCAGCATCTTCCCTTTCTTTCTTATCCCACGTCTTCCTCATATTTTTCCTTCGCCGCTTCCTCCCCACTTCCTCCGATTACTCGTCCTTCCCTTCCAATTCAGGGTTCACCAAGAAATCGACTGGGAACGCGCTCCGTCAGAGTCCTTTTCCTTCTGCTCGCACTCCTCCTCCGCATGTTCCTCCTCCTCCTCCTCCTCGGCCTCCCTCCTTCTTGTGATGCTGTGTTGGCGTCCTTCCCCTTCGACGCATCTAAAGACTCATGTGTACTTCACTCCTACAAGGAATTTCAACGTCTAGCCCTCCACTTCCACTCTTCCTCCTAGGCCTCGTTGACTCTTCGCGTCGAATGGGCCACTGATGCATAACCCCGAGGGGGTGATAATGAAGGTGCCCCCTGTTTTCCCCACCTCTATTTTTTATCCCCGCCCACAGGGATGTATGTGGGGAAGGCGCGGGGGGCGAACTTGATAAACACCTGGAAAGTTGCTATCATATCATGCGGATTAGCAACAGCATCAAAAACGCTGAAATGGGCCATGATGGCTTAGCCACACCAGTTTCCGTAATCACGAGCGTGTGGCAGGGCTGTGGGGTTCTCACCAATTCAGCTTGCCCACGTTACGACCGTGCGGCAGGGCCATGGGATGCACTGGTTATAAACATGGGGTAAACGTCAGATATATGATCGACTCGGGATCAGTATTCGCCAAGTGCTGATCCCTACCAAAATGGCCAATCCTCCTCTTCCTCCTCCTCCTCCTCCTCCTCCTCCTCCTCCTCCTCCTGCTCCTCCTCTTGTTCCTCCTCCTGTTCCTCCTCCTGCTCCTCCTCTTCCTCCTCCTCCTCCTCCTCCTCCTCCTCCTCCTCCTCCTCCTCCCCCTCCTCCCCCTCATCCTCCTCCTCCTCCTCCTCCTTCTCTGCCCCCGCAGCTGCCCAGGCCCAAGCTTCCCCGAGCCTCAGAAACTCCAAGCTTTCGGGCCTCTTCGAGGCGCCGAGCCTCTTCGCCCCAGGGGCAGCGATAGGGGGGATAGGCATGCCTATGCATCGGCTTTGCATCGCCGATGCAAAAATATGTTTATGGGGGGGGGGCATCGACCTGGAATCTGCGATACATCGCCAATGCATCGGGCGCGCATCGCCGGTGCATCGGCGATATATCGCCGACTCCAGGTCGATGTCCCCCCCAATGCCTACCCCCTCACACAATTGCCCCTGACTGCGTCGCGGGCCCCAGCGATGGCCCATCGGGCCGAGCGCGCAGCTGCCGCGAGCCTGCCCGTCGAGGCGCTGAAGCACGCGGCGGCGCTGGCCAAGCAGAGCGAGCATATTATCGACCAAATGAGCTACATCACAGAGAAAGTCAGCATGGCCGAGATGAGGCAATGCAAATCGAGCGCGCAGGGCACGGACGCAGCTCGCATGACGAGCTGCTACTTCAAGGCCGAGTCGGCCTTGTGGTCGTCGAGCGCCCAGCAGGCCGCCCTGGAGTTGGTTTACCAAGGCGGGTGCCACAAGAGCATCGGGTACACCCGCATCTTCAACGAGAAGGACAAGAGACGCATCGAGCTGGCCGTGGCGGAGTCTTTCAAGACCTACGTCGGCACATACGAGCACGTGTACGACATCTTCGACAACCGCGAAGAGCCGCCCGAGGACCTCTTCTGGCCCATGCCGAGTTTCAAGAGACATGGAGCTCGGCGACGAGAAACTCGAGCAGCTGACCCACGGCCCCTACACCAAGCGCACCAGGCCAGCCCTCCCCAGCATCCCCGCCGAGCTCCTCCACCTCCACGAGCCAGCGCTGCCGATCAAGAGGAAGTTCGAGCCCGTCGAGCACTTGCGCGATATGCCCGCCGAGAGCGCTGAGAGGCTCTTCAACGTGATTCCGCGAAGGGGCCGAGATTGCGCCAAGCGGTGGAACGAGACCTCCACGGCCTCGACGCCGAACAACGAGGCCGCCAAGGCTACGACCCTAGCCATCATCAAGTGGTGCTGGAACATCAAGAAAACCGCGGGCATGAGCTACGAGCTGCACGAGCACCGCTACCAAGACAAGCGCGCAAAGCTGGACTACTCGAAAACCGCCAAGCAGCAGCAGCACGAAGAGTTACTGCTCGAAGACCACAGCAAGATGCACTTCGAGAAGTACGCGTCGACCCAGGCCAGGGACGACAAGTCGAACAAGCGCGATGACGAGAGAAGCCAGGCCGACACGAAGGCCGAGTCAGAGCCCGCCTCGTTCATGCTCGCGGGAGCCTGAGCGCACGAGCTCCCCGAGCCAAGCGCCCCATGACCTTCGCTACGAGGGTTCCGTTTCGAGGCGCCCGCTCGGGCCCCATCAACTTTTCAAGCTCCAAGAGAGCGCTCGAGCGCGCGCGAGTGGCGTTCCAAGCTGCGGGGTGCGACCCCCCCCCCCCCCCCTCTCGGAGTGATCCTCGGTCAATCATCAAGGAATCAAGCGGGCTCGATCCTGCATCCTCGGGTCGATGATCCGAGATCTTGAGTCCGAGCATATTCGGGCACCTCGGGTCCTAGATCCGAGGGTCGCCAAGCTTGGGCTCGAAGAACCTCGGGGTCGCGATCCGAGGGTCGAGGATCGAGCCTCGGCGACCCTCGATCGTCGCATTGCCATCGGGCAGGCTCGATCCTCCATCCTCGGATCGAGGATCCGAGACCTTGAGTCCGAGCAGATTCGAGCACCTTGGGTCCTAGATCCGAGGGTCGCCAAGCTTGGGCGCGAAGATCTCGTGTTCGACGCCCGAGGCTCGGGGCCAAGCAGATCGCCCTCGCCGCCGTCCTCGAGCCCACACTGCCACCAAGCAGGCTCGACCCTCCATCCTCGGATCGAGGACTCGAGATCTTGGTCTTGAGCATCTGCGAGCACCCCGGATCCTCGGCTCGAGGGTCGCCAAGCTTGGACTGGAAGATCTCGGGTTCGACATCCGAGGCTCGAGGACCGAGTCTCGGCGATGGTGGACCCCCCTCGCCGCGCCCTCCAGCCCGCGCTGCCACCGAGCAAAATCCCCCCTCCATCCTCGCATCGAGGATCCGAGATCTTGGTCTTGAGCGACCTCGGATCCTAGATCCGAGGGTCGGCAAGGTTGGACTGGAAGATCTCGGTTTCGACGCCCGAGGCTCGAGGACCGAGCCCGGCGCCTCTCTGGCCGCCCTCGGGCCCGCGCTGCCACCGAGCAGGCTCGGCCCTCCATCCTCGGATTATGAGTCCAAGATCTTGGTCTTGAGCATCTGCGAGCACATCGGATCCTAGATCCGATGGTCGCCAAGCTTGGAGTGGGAGATCTCGGGTTCGACATCCGAGGCTTGAGGGCCGATCCTGGGGCTTCTCTGGTCGTCCTCGGGCCCGCGCTGCCACCGAGCAGGCTCGACCCTCCATCCTCGGATCGAGGATCCGAGATCTTGGTCTTGCGCACCTTCGAGCACCTCGGATCGTAGACCCAAAGATCACCAACGCGCGCACGCGCGCGTACACACGCACACACACACACGCAAACACACCAACGCACACAAACACACCAACGCACAGGCACACACACGCACGCGCACGCGCACACGCACGAACACACGCACACACGCACTCACACAGACTCACACACACGCCCCCGCACACACTCACACACACACACATACACACACACACTCACACACACACACAAGAACACAAACACACACACACACACAAACACAAGCAACAGCAGCAAACGACAGCAACAGCAAACAGCAAAACGGCAGCAACAGCAGCTCAAAGCAGCACCAAGACAAACAGCAGGTAGAACAAACAACAGCTGCACACCCGCACGCTCGCAAACAGCAGCAAGGCAAACAATAATATAAAAAACAGCAAGACAAACGAGCCCAGCCGCAAGACAAACAACACGACCAACAGACAACCGTGGCCAATTTAGGCCCAAGCATTCGAAGCCAGCCGAGGACGCAGCGCGCCCGCAGCACGCCGTGGCCGAGACGTGGCACCCCATGGCCGAGTCGGACAGCGACGATCGTCGGCACGTCGCCGAGCGGTCGGGCGACGAGAGAGTCGGCGAGTGGGCGAAGGGCGACGAGTGAACGAGGGAGACGGAACCCACCGAGCCGGGGGAGGACGCAAGCATGCCCGAGGACAAGAGCCTCGAGGAGAAGAAGCTCGACGACAAGAAGGCCGCGCTCGAGGTCAGGAAGCTCGACGACAAGAAGGCCACGCTCAAGGACAAGCAGCTTGGCGACAACAAGCGCAGGCGCCTCTGCAAGCCCGCAACGACGAGGCAGCGCGATGCCTCGCAGGCCTCGACACCGAGTTCCGACTCAGCCCTGAGGCGCCTCGCGAGCCGCTGGGAGCTCTGAGCGAAGTGCTTCCGGGCAGAGTGAGGGCGAGGCGCTGGGGGCACTCAGCGAGGCCCCCCCCCCCCTGCCTCGAGGACGCCACAAAAGCAGAGAACAGGACAGGTGCCAGAGCAACAAGACCACCAACACAAAGAACACTGGCACACACAAGCAACTCAACACGCGCGAACCACAGCAGCGGCCACGCAGACACCTGCAACCGCAACCAGCGCAACAACATAACCAACAACAGCAGCAGACGCAACCGCAATGCACAACAGCGACACCAACAGCACCACGAGCAACACCACCAACAACAGCAGCAACGGCAAGCACAATAACACCAACAACAGCAGAAACAACAGCAAGCAAAACACAAGCAACTGCAAACCATAACCGCAGCGAAACAAGCAAGAACAACAAGCGAACACCAAGGAGCACCAACGACAAACTAAACCTAACATCCTTCCGTAGCCGCGTTGGCTCGAGTTTTTCTGTTTCGAGCTACTGCAGCTTTGCAGCGAGACTCCGATGGTCGCGCCGACGAAGCAGACGAGCTCGTCGAGCCTCTGGGGCCTGCAGACCTCGCCGCCCGCGGCCCCGAGCTCGCGCCGGACGCTGAGAACCTCGCCTTGCGAGGCGGCCGACTCTGCCGCGAGCTTCTACCGGTTGCTCGAGGCCACGGGGCTCGACGCTGAGACGACCGAGCAGGATTAGTCTTCCTTGTATTCATTCAGCTTGTTTTTCATGTATCATTCTTCTTGCCCCCTTCTTTTATGGTTCGCATCTTCCTTTCCTTTCCTTTGTGTTCGGTTTTTCCTTTTGCTGTTATTCTTATTCCTTGCCTTGTCCGTCATCTCCTTGTCTCTTCCCCCCCCCCCCCAAAAAAAAGGGGCCACCCGCGAGGCCCCATCATGCCCCCCCCCCTTCCCCCCCCCTCCGCGCGCCCTTTAAAGCGATCAAAAAAGAGAATGTTCCTGCAGAGAAAAAACTAACCCAACGTTCCTTTCCAAAACCGATCCTGGTGCCATCCCCTTCTCTACCCCCGCCTTTCTTAGCCCTCTCTTCCTCCCCCGTTCTCCGAGTAGTGCTATTGCAGTCAGCCCGCGTG